TGTTATTTTGCCTCAGCAAACATTAGTTCTGTCGTCACCACTCTGGTTCTTTCAGCTAGTTTCACAGGTCTTTGATTTTGGAGACGTAAGGAGGCTTCTCAAGAACTCCAATGTTGTCATAGAGCCGCTAAGCTATGTAGAAGTAGAACGTGGTCTAAAACATTTCACTTGAAGCTGAAGGGAAGGCGTCATGGGATAATGTCAACAAGGGTCTGACTTTGGCGGGTCGACTGTGAATAATTCCAGTGACATACAAATTATAGTTGCTTCTCTCTGAAGTTCTTAGTTGATATCTGTGGAATTTTTTATGCATACTTAAAAACTTTAGTGTAAAACTTTAGTGCAGTACACCGTATACAAAGGTAAATCCTCGTCTGCTGCTCTCACTGAAGCTGGTGTCCCCCAAGGTGCTGTACTCTCCCCAATTCTCTTTTCTTCCCTTCTACATGACTTACCATCTTCAAGTGACATTAATTTCGTCAAATATGCTGACGACCTGACAGTATCTTTGCCTGTCAAATGTCAAAGTGACTGCTCTAAACTTAATGGCTTTTTATCAAAACTCAGACAGTGGTCCAAGGAAAACGGTCTAACCTTAAACCCCTCCAAATGCCAAACGGTCAATTTCACCTTTAGGCATAAATCTGACCTAAACAAACTGGTTAGCACTCACGAGGTGTGCAACATAGATGGTACTGAAATAGAGACCAAGTCGGAAATTAAATATCTTGGTGTCATTCTATCTGCTGATTTTTCCTGGTCATCTCCTATCTTGATGATTTCTAAGAAAATATTCTGTCTTACCTTCTACATCAAGAAGTTAAGACGTTCTGGAATAATCCAACCCTTACTATTACGATTCGTTAACTCTTGCATCCTATCTATTGTTCTTTATTGTTCGCCCTTAGCTTTTCCCGGGCTACTGAATAAAGACTATAACATATTACGCAGGATGTTAAATGTTGTCAGCAGAGTAAGCAACGTGCCACTTAACCAGCTTGTTAATGCTCTGGTCGACAGGCACATGGACTCATGTGAAAAATGGGCCAAGTCCATTTTATCTAACTCACACCACCCTCTTCACTAACAACTCTCCCCTTGCATCTCATCAGGTAAAACCAGAAGCCTATATAGAAAACTATGTGCTCGCACTAGCAAGTACGAAAACTCAATCATACCCTACTTGGCTCGTGCTCTGTGCGACAAAGAAAGCATTTGGTGTGAAACTTATAACGTATTAAATAGTCAGTAGAGCAACTGGATCTCGTCTTTTCAACTCATATCATTTATAGGTACAACGTTTTCTTTCTTTCTTTTCCTATACTCTCTCTCTTTTTTCCGTTATATGCTGCTTTGTTTCTTTCTCTCGCTTACGCCAGTAAGTATGATAGCACCTACTTTTCTAACACCTTCAAACACTGTTGAACTTTGGCTTTGCTACCGACATGCCAATGTATTGTTGTCATAATGAACTGAGATTTCCTTAATCTTTGTAGAATTCTATTTATTGATAATGTACTAACTGGATGCAATACTGTAGTGAAATGCTGAGAATTCCATTATGTATCACAAGTACTGTTTTGGAATAAAGCAAATTATTATTATTATTATTATTAAAACTGACTGATACTAAGTTTTCTACGTATATCCAAAAAATTACGCTGAGAATTGGGTACACTGGGTAGACGTTCTATCCAATATAAAGCTGTCATCATTCTATATTATATTAATTAATACCACCACAACTACTACTGATAATAACAGTAACCAGGCGTTGGTTTACAGGGATTTGATTAGTCATAGGTCTGGTCACGATCTGACAAATCAGTTAAAGAACCAATAGGAAACCAAGGAGGGCCAAGTTAAACTTTAGACACCAATAACTACCAATCAGCGAACGACGTCGAATTGTCCAATGAGATTCATGAACTTAGTTCAATGTTGTATAGCGCTTGATTCATTTACAATGCGTGCCCTTACAAGGTTACGTTTGCAATTCGAGGAGGATAGTGTCTTTCAGCATTGCCTGGACTTAGGCTTGCTTCGAAAGGCGAGAAGTTGTTCGTGTGGTGGTGTAATGACTCTAAAGGGCTATACGATGTCAACTGATGGATTTGTCTATATGCTGGAATCGAGTTAGTATTAGAGAGGGTAAGCTGCTAATTTTAATATTTCGCAGGAACTTTTTTTGCTAGGTCGCATCTCTCCCTAACCCAGATTTTGTATATATGCAACCACTGGGTATTGAAACAGCCGGTGAAAGCCGCAGCTGCCGAGACGGAGAACAGCCTCGTCTCAAAAGTTCAGTGGTACCAGCATTGCAGAGACATTGCCTCATGGAAAATGAAGAGAATTACTTCGTTGTTAGGTGGGGAGGACGTAGTAATGCATTTGGACGAAACAGTGTTGGTGAAGAAGAAATATAAGCGTGGTCGTCAGAGAGCAAACAACATTTGGGTAATAGGTTTATACGACACTTCCCTCCGAAAAGGATTTGTTGAAAGAATAGCAGACAGGAAGGCGAGTACTTCGATACCTGTTATAACGTGACTTGTCAAAAGGGGATCAGTTGTACATGCCGACGAGTCTAAAGGTTATGATTCATTGTCATCCCTGGGATACATTCATCACAGAGTGAATCACTCAAATGATTTCGTGGATCCAGTTAGAGGGACTCATACGAATTCCATTGAAGGATTTTGGGGTCGATTGAAAAATAGGATCCGGGCTATAAATGGATCTCAAAAGGATCTGATTTATAGTCATTTAGACGAACATATGTATAGAATGTGGTGCGACTTCTCTATTGACAGTCCCATGCTGACTTGGGAGATGTTCCTGTCCCATGTTAGGGAAAGATACCCATTGTAACCATTTTATCCTTTTTTTATGCATTTTTTAAAATAAATATACGCTTCCACTTATCATAAATGCCTCTTTCATGTGATTGGTCCGTTTAAGGTCGTTTGCTGATTGGTTGTTATTGGTGTCGAAAGTTTAACTTTGCCCCAAGGAGTTCTGGGAAGTTGTTTCGTCCTAGTTTGAAACTCTGCAGTCATATTCCCCAATGATCTAACCCACATAGGATAAAACCCAGGACCTTCTAGTTGCAGGGTAGACTCGTAGACCATTCATCCTTTGGGGCTCGTTTCAATGGCCCGTGAATTTCAGCTCTTGCTCATTCGAGATAAGGATAATAGCGAAGTTGTAACCAGCGAGGAACCACCAAGTCAATTAAATCGTCTGTCTGACTGTCTGTTTTCAACATGGAACTTTGTACCGATGTGTGCAGCAGTTCAAGTCGCCACACTCCCTCCATGTAGCACACAAAGCAAGAGAAGAAAGTAAAAAGAAATGCAAAATAGAGACAATAGACAGCGCAAATGAGACAAAAGGAATAGTAATAACGAAGTACGATATACTTTCATTGGAAATTATAAGTCACAAGGAGTTATTGCATCTGGACCAGTCATTGAGAACCAGGAATTTGAGCTAGCCATATCGCCGATTGTCTCCAGCCAATTAAGTACTAAGCCGCATCATCCTGGAGAGAATCAAACACACCCTGAATGAAAAACTTCGACCGGAACAGGCTGGATTCAGGAGAAACAAGTCATGCATTGATCAGATTGCCACATTACGGATCATCATTGAACAAAGATTAGAACGGTAGTCACCTCTCTATCTCAACTTCATCGACTTTGAAAAGGCCTTCGACAGCGTCGATCGAGAGGTGCTTTGGCAACTACTTCGCTACTAAGGGGTGCAATTATACATCTCATGCAACAGCTGTACGACAATGCTGTGTGTCAAGTAATCCACAACGGGAAACTTACGGAATCCTTCGAAGTGAAGACGGGAGTAAGACAAGGCTGACTGGCTGCCTCCTATCTCCAATGATTGTCCTGATTGCAGTAGATTGGATAATGCGACAAACAGCGGACAATGAGGAAACAAGCATAAAATGGACTCACACAAAAGACTTCGAGGATCTGGACTTCGCCGATGATATATGTCTCATTTCCCACTAACTGGAAGATATGCAAGTGAAAGGCAACAAGTTGGCAGAAGAAGCATCAAAGATAGGACTTCAGGTGAACATAGAGAAGACAGGGGTGATGAAGATTCATGGTCAACACTACCAACAGCAACAACAACAACTTACAACAATCAGCCAGCATAAATGGGAGGAACCTGAAAGAAAAAACTTCTTTTACCTACCTGAGAAGCATCGTTTCAACTACAGGCGGGCAGGACTGGTGAGGATATCAAAGCAGCGAGGATCGGAAAAGCAAGACAAGCTTTCACTACTCTCAAGTCTGTGTGGAGGTCAACAGCACTCAGCAACAAAAATAAGATCCGGATTTTCAACTCCAATGTGAAGTCAGTCAGTGCTACTATACGGATCAGAGACTTGGCCAGCGCGTCATAAAGAGCATCTCAAACAAACTACAGACCTTCATTAACAGTTGTCTTCGCTCAATTCTACTCAAGATCAGATGGCCAGCCAGAAAACATCAGTAACAGAGATCTCTAGGAGCGAATCAACTAGGAACCAACTGTGAAACAAATAGACAGGAAGAAATGGAGATGGATTGGTTGGTCATACTCTGAGGAAACCATCAAGTGACATCACTAGACAAGCCATTACTCGAGTGGAACCCGAATATGGAAGCGGCGAGTCGGTCGTCAGTGTGAGGGTGACTTGGAGGAGGTCATGTGAAGAGGAGATGAAAGCGTGTGGACAGACTTGGTGCCAGGTGAAAACTCTAGCAGAGAACCGAACGCAATGGAGACGTTCGGCTGAAGCCCTATGTTCCTCTAGGAATTAAAGGAAACAATAATTATAATAAACTTAGAAAAAACAAAATAAATTTATCATAACATTGAAAAGCATAAATAAATAAAATTGATTAATTTTCTATATTAAGAGAACATTTTTGTCTATTAAGCAATCTATTGTTTGAAAAGTACTCACTTCTTTTTTCAATCTCATTTAGGTAATGTTTCATCAATTAAACCGCAGTACTGTGCATTAGCTAGTCAATATTGTAATCAGCCGAGTAAGTGATCACTTCAATTTTTTGTTTTTTTTTGTTTCCTCCATTTTTGGTATTTCCATTCTGACAGAATGTTGATATTTTATGATAAGAATACTTCTGTTAGATCGAAGAGATGATGGTTCAATAAGACGACGATCAATTTACAGAAAGCCTACTTGTCCCTTGATTTAATAATTGTTTAAGTGCCCTTCTTCTATAGGAGATAGATATGTAGATGATATTATTATGATATGCGATGACCATGAAGATGTGGGCCGTCTACTGGATAGACTTAACTTCGTAGAGAAGCATTTAAGTCTTACATGCGAGGAAGAAAGTCGCAACCAGCTTGCATTTTCAGACATACTTATGAATCGAAGGTGTGAATGATGTTAATATATGTGTAAAACTTGGGCACTGTGGTAGTAAGTAATTCCGTATTAGTTTGTTTATTAGATGTATCACACAGTGAGTGAAACAGTATTATTTACTGGATGACACAGTTTCGAACAAAATTTATTGCTGTTCATAATCAAATCGTCAATTATAATCACACGACTTCGAAATATGAGTTTTATAGTTTTCTTTATTCCTTCCTATTTGTCATCGTAGGGGTAGCAGAATTTTCCAAGGCATAAAGAGGTTTTTCGAAGACACCAACTTGAAGGTAGAGGCAATTCAATTCACTTATGAATTGGAAAGTCAGGATAGGGAGCTTTCAATGTTAGATTGTAGCGTAAAAAGAAAGGAAGATGGGAAGTTAAACACAGGTATTTCCAGAAAACCCACACATTCAAACAGATATTTGGACTTCCAATCATCCCATCCTATGTCAGTGAAAATAGGATTGGTGAAATGTTCAAGTAATAGAGCACAAAAACTATGCAGTACCACGGAAAATCTAAGACAGGAAGTGAAACAGATAAGAGAAGCCTTCAAACTTAATAATTACCCTAATAAATTAATCAGAAAGCATGTAGGGATATGTAAAGATAAAATAAATAATGATAGTAGTGATAGTAATAATAATAATAATATTAATGATGACATGCATGTCAAGTATGCGCAAGACAACACCGACAATAAGGAATCTAAATCATAAGTAGTACCTCCATACAAGGAAGGAACCTCGGAAAACTCCTTACAGAGAATTCTTATCAAAGCGCAGGAATAAAGGTGGCTGGCACCCACAAACTCATTTGGAATAAGCTTTGTCAGTTAAAGCATCCTGTAAAGTCAATTAAACAAAACAATTTAGTTTATCTAATATCCTACTGAAGTGATTGTCAGGTCAAATACATAGATGGGTCAAACTAGTAGAACAGGGGCAGTCAGACTAGCTGAACATAAAAACCTAACAGCAAAATCTAGATTGGTTGACCCGAATAAGATAAGAAATCTAGAGAATAGTTCAGCTATTCCACTCGCTGCATGCAGTTACACACAACCATACAAAAGGATGGGATAGGATGACAGTTTTAAAATCCAATATAACAGTGTGGAGGGAGAGATTTATAACAGAAGCTTTGTTTATCGAATCAATTGCAAACCAACAGGTGTATAATTAATGATTCAACACCTACACCAGATATCTGGAAAATTCTGCTACCCCTACGACGGCGAATAGGAGAGAACAAAGAAAACTATAAAACTATATAAAGTTTCGAAGTTGTGTGATTATAATTGATATGATTATGAACAGTAAATTGTGTCATCCAGTAAATAATACTGTTTCACTCACTGTGTGACGTATCTAATAAACAAATTAATATGGAATTTTCAAAAGAATTCTTACTGAACAAAGAATACTCTTTTCGACGACACCTTCTTCATCAGGTCCTACAATTATATATCCATCCATAATAGTGAATGAATTAGTGTTATGAACAACATTAATGATGTTTAAATAACATCATTGGATTACAGTTCAATAACATCAACATAACAATAAACTGAATGTCAGAAAAATTAGAAAGGATAATAATACAAATTCATGAATTTATAGTCTCCACTGAAGGCCGACCAGGGCAGTAGTAGTGCCTAGTTGGAGCTGTTTCTTTTGAACACAGAGCACTGGCTGTTTCATGCGAATCGTGATAACCTCTGCTGTTTGGAGCATGCGGTACCTCGATGTTTATGACATTTTATTTGGTACCTGGTAGATAATAGAGAAGGATTCTTCGACGATGTTTGGGCATGTAATTAGAAGTTAATTGGTTGATGGTGACTAGTAGTGGAATCCATCCAGGATAACGCGCATTTCGTCCCATTTGGGACTCGTCAACTGGTTGGATGTGCCTGCATTCTGCAGTGAGTGACTCTCGTGGCCCAAGTGGTCTTCTAGTGGATAATGCTTTGACGTTTGAAACTATGGGCACTGGGTTCGAACCTCGGTGGGAACATCATCACTTACTGCGGAATGCAGGCGCGTCCAGATGAAGAGTCCCAAATGGGACGAAATTCGTAATATCCTGGATTCCACTGCTAGTCACCAACCACCAATTAACATCAGATTATTTTTCAGATAATCTCCATCTTCTAATAACACTATTCAAATTTATAAATGGAACTAACTGTTTTAAAATTATTGTTTGTTATTTTTTTGTTTTCAATTCTAGGTGATAAAATGTCTCGTCTTAATGCTGAAGAAATTGTGAATGGTGAGAAGAATGTGGGCGATTTTTGAACATTTTTCCATTTACATGACTCACAGTTTAGTATAAGTGAGGTTGAAGTCGTTCCACTTGACAGTGAAGCGTATTTACTTCCGTCAGTTTTATCATCAACGGGTTAACTATGCTGCCTTCTATAATTTGTGGATAGTAGAAGGATTAGAAAATGTCATCTTCAAAAAGCTGTACATTCTGAATTATTATCTTGAAACGGTTGACAGTCGGTGATAAGGTCTTGATATTATTGAAAACTACTTCAAAAGTCACTTCAGTTCATACTAGATAAGTTTATTTTAAATGTCACATAGTGGTGTAACAACAGAAGACAAGGGCCAGGCAACAGATCGTTTATTTAGGAAATCAACACATGACCAAATATTGGGGACGTACACATTGACGTAAATAACAATCTACCAATTTTGGCTAACAGCCAGCTCTCACCACAGTGGGTGAGGCAGTTTTAATAACTGGATGACAGGCTTTCTAGCATGAATTATTGCTGTTCATTAGCATATCAATTTTAGTCACACGGTTTCAAAATTTGTCTTATATATATATATATATTTTCTCTCCTTCTGGCTCTCCAACATCCCTTCATTGTCCCTAAACATGAAAAGGGGACCGTTGTAAATTTGGTTAGTAAACCGACCTTATAGCCACTGAAAATACCTACGAAAATGAAGTTGTGCTTTCATGGAAACGAAGAGGATGTTGATGCACGCTGGTGAAAAATTTCGAGAAGCCTATTGACGTATAGCACCCCTATCCAATGAAAGTAAACGTAAGCATGAGGGCATAGAATATCCACATGGTGTTCGATGCTGGGAAGTCTGCTAAGATTGCGAAGGAATGAGGAGGATATGGCGTAAAAGTGGTAGGAATTAATGCAATCATACACAGTCGTGTGCATATGGAGGGTTTGGCTATCATTGAAACCTTATCTTCCACTCAGAACGAATGCTACTATTGTAACGGAAGAAGATAAGATAACTAGTAACAGACCTTGACTAAAGAAAAACACAGGCAAGAAGAAAACAGGAATACGCTGGACTACCTATAAGAAGACTTTAGAAGATCAAATGGCTAGAAAGAATAAGCAACAAGAAACCCTGGCGATGAACAAACCAACTAAGAGCCGATCACCCAACAAAGATGTAGGAAAAAGTGGATATGGATGGATCGGGGATACATTGAAGAGGCCGTCGAATGACATTGCACGCCAGGCAATGCCTCGAGTGGAATCCCAATGGGAAGCGACAAGTGGGTAGTCGGTACGAGGGTGACATGGAGGAGATAGTGTGAGTGGGAAGAGATGAGAGAGTTTGGTCAATGGTGGACCTAGCTGAAGAGGATTGCAGAAAACAAAACAAAGTGGAGACATGATATGTTGTTGAAGCCCTATGTTACCATTGGAACGCAAGGGAATAATAAAATATAAAATAATAAATAGAAGATCTGGATTTCCTACGTAGATGATTTATGTTTAATGTCGCGCAAATTCGAAGACTTACAGGCGAAAAACAACAAAGTGACCGAAGAAGCTGGCAGCGAAGACGACAAGACTGCAGGTCAACATAGGCAAGATGGAGGTAATGAAGATAAACAACGTAAGGCAATAGCAACAAAAATAGAACCAATTACCATCAACGGGAGAGATTTAACAAAGGTCACTTCCTTCACTTATCTGGCTAGGCAGCATTGTTTCAACTACAGGCAGTCAGAATGGAAGGCAAGACATCTTCTGCTCCCACCCAGCATACAGAACGAGATTCGGATTCTGTTCAACACAAATTTGAAGTCAGCCAGTTAGTGCTTCTATACAGGTCAGAAACTTGACTAACGCGTCACGAAAAGAATTTCCAATAGGCTAATGTAGACGTTTTTCACCGGCTGCCTCCTCGATGGCTACAAATTAGGTATCAAATGGCTGACCGGGCAGAGAGAATTAGTAACGAGAACCTCTGGGAACTAACCAATTGGCGAGAACCTATTACTCAACAAACATGTAAAAGAAAGTAGGGATGGATTGGGCACACGCTACTGAGAAAACCATCGAATGACACCGCGCGCTGGTCAAGCTTTCATTCGAATAGGACCCGAACGGGAAACGAAGAGTAGGTTGACATGGTGGAGATCATTTCAATAGGAGGAGATGAGAGATTATGGGTGGGTAATTGTGGGCCCAGCTAAAGAGGACAGCAGAAAATAGGACGAAGTAGGGACCTGATGTGTTGTTGAAGGCCTATTTTCCACCTGGAACCCAAGGGAACAATAATAATAATAATGCCTCATTAAAATTCGGCTAGGTCAGTGGAAAATAGGGTGTTCTGATTGGTTGGAAATCAGCTTAATGATTAAACAATGAGGTGAAAAGTTGTCCAACAAGGTTATTTCATGTCCACACCGTATGCTGGTTCCAGATTTCAGGAATAAACACTTCTGCCTGTGTAAGTCCATCGATTTAAGATTTTGATTTCAATTTTCCGCCACTTCCTATCAATCTGTATCTATAGACTACTTATTAATCTTGTCAGTAGCCCAAGCCAGACGACTGATACTATTACTACTGATGCTGATAATAATAATAAGAATAATACTTTAGTCTGAGCTGGAGAGACATTACATTCAAGTGACGTGTTTTCAAGTAATTACAGTTAAGATTAACAAAATATCGGACAGAAAGAATTTTTCAATCATGGCATCAAGCTCAAGCTTAGGAGTTTTTTAAATAATAATAATATCTTTATTCTGGATAGTATTTATATAATGTACAGAATTTTCAGAGGAGTTTATTTCATGACATTTTCCCTTCGTACAATATCTTCAAGTAAAATATTAATTGACAGGATATCCTTCCTGTGACACGCAGCGGTCTCTGGGCTGAGGCACAAACCATTCCATTATGATATATCTGCTTTGTCTCCTTCAAAAAACCAATCCACGATATCTGGTTGAAAGCCAATTCTAAAAGGTTCAGAAGTACATTTTGAGATTCAAGGAAATAACTGAAGAACAGTTATCTCATTGTATTGGAACACATTGCCACCCACAATCAGGCCATTCCTCAACTTCAGTAGGAACTCGCTTAAACAGAAGCTTGAAGGCGCCCTATATTCCACTGTGAACGTAGAGGAATTAAAAAAACACCATTAGAGGTCATATCTTAGTTGATTAAAAGAAACCGAACGACAGAAAATATCTGCAATAGAAAGATGGAAGTTTTTGGTACCTGAAGTCTTAAGCAGGCCGCCACCGCTAATATAGCAATGGTGTTTAGTTGCATTTTGGTTTTGCGGGTTGGTTTTCCTAGCCTCACTCCAGTCAACCTTCCATCTTTACTGGGTTTATTACTAACGGCAAAATAATAATAATATTTTACTTGATTCCAGAAACAGTACTATTGGTACAGTGTGGAATTTTCAGCACATATCCACAATATTTGCATCTAATTTTATCAAACATTTAAAAGGAGAATTTCTAAAAAAATAAGTATAAAAACACCAACAGCAAAAAAAAAAACAGGAAAAACACAAAATAATTTAAAAAATGCGAAAAAATACCAAGAAGTAGAAAAGAAAATAAACAACATAAAATAATATCTCAGTATTGGGTAGTGGAAGGTATGATATGATTATGCATGGTGACAGTAAAGCTATAGTCATACAAGAAGTTATGAAATGATATTTAAGAATGTTTATCGCCAAGACGGTCAGTTAATTTGATTGAAACAACTCTAAACAAACATAAAATAACATTTCAGGGTTTGTATTGTCAGGTCTAATGCAGTGTTTGTAGTGGTAGTGTGAGTAATCCTGCATAATACAAAATTTTAAGATGGTGATAATGGCGTTCACAACCAATGATTGTCAGTTTAATATTGCCGAACAACAACAAAAAAAACAACCACAAAACTAATAATTACATGATGGTTAATGACAGGACAATTTTGTAATACACTTAGTGCTAATATAGTCGGAACCAGTAGATACACAAAAGAAGAAAATAGAGTAAAGTACAAAAAAGGAAGCCAATGTTAATAATTTAGGTAGCTAAGTATGTTTAAGAAGGTGTTCACTATAGAATACAAAATAAGAAAGAGAAATAAAAGAGCCTAAGATTATGTTATTAACAACAAAGCAAGTCATAAGTTTTGCGCTTAATCTTAATTAAGTTAAGCGGATTGCTTTGGTGGCCGGGGATCAACGCCATACATTAAATACATTATATTTCATATGATTCCATAGCTTTCTACTTATCTTTCTTTACGTGCATGTCTCTATCTCTCGTTCAGAAGTTGGAGAAGTATGCTCATTTACTGGTGCTATACATTCGCATTCACATACAATGGAATGTAAGGGAAAGAAGAGTTTGATTGATATGAGGTAAGATCAATGAATCAATGAATTCATTAGTAAGAGATATTTTCATTTCATCCGTTAAGAAAAGAACATATATACAGTTAGATGATTTCATCATGAACTGACATCAGTTAGAGAACCAGCTGAGAGTACTGTCAGCCTATTTTGGTACTGTTCATAAGCGAGCGTTGTAGTTTCTGTAGACTTTGAGAAGGCCTTCAACAGCGTTGACCGTGAAGTAATTTGGAAACTACTCGAGTACTACGGCGTACCTCAAATATTCATCCACCTTATTCAACAGTTGTACGACAATGCCTGCCACGTGTCAAGTTATCCACAACGGAAAACTCAGCGAGGCTTTTGGAGTTAACACAGGAGTCAGACAAGGGTGCTTATTATCACCAATGATATTCCTAATTGTGGTGAACTGGATTATGCATCAGACAGAGGGAAACGAAAAGACAGGGATATCCTGGACCACCGACGTGAAGAACCTAGAAGACTTGGATTTCGTGGATGATTTATGTTTGATGTCACACAAAATCGAAGACTTACAAGCGAAAACCAACAAACTGGTCGAAGAAGCAGCCGGTGAAGACAGGACTCCAGGCGAACGTAGACTAGATGGAGGTTATGAAAATAACCAACCAACCAACAACAACAGCAGCAACATCCAGCGCCAATCACCACTAACGGAAGGGATTTGAAAGAGGTCACTTCATTCACTTATCTAGGAAGCATTGTCTCAACTACAGCCAGTCGGAACGGACGAGGTTGTCAAATCGAGAATCAGGAAGGCGAGAAACACATTCATCAACCTGAAACCAATCTGGAAATCTTCGTCACTCAACTCACCATCAACAACAAAGTGATTCGGATTTTCAATACAAACGTCAAGTCAGTCAGTTCTTCTATACGGATGGATCAGAAACTTGGCGGGTCACAAAGAATATTTCCAACAGCCTGTTGCAGACCTTTATCAACAACTGTCTTCGCTCTATACAAGTGAAGATCAGATGGCCGGAAAGAACAAGAACCAATAAGAAATTACGGGAACAAACAAAACAAGAACCAATCGCCCAACAAATATGCAGGAGAAAGTGGAGATCGATTGGACACTCGTTGAGAAGGCCGCTGGGTGACATCGCGCGTCAGGCCATTGCTCAAGTGGGACTCGGAAGGGAAGCGGCGAGTGCGATTTCCAAGGGTGACATGGAGGAGATCGTGTGAAGAGGAGTTGAAACAGTATGGACTAACATGGATGCAGGTGAAAAGTACAGCAGAAGAGAGAAGCAAGTGGAGATGTGTAGTTGAAGCCCTATGTTCCACTAGGAACCCAAGGGAACAACAATTATAATATATAATAACATAAGGGATCACCTACAGCCAGGGTTTGAATTCAGGACCTTCTGGTTACAAGGCGAGCTAGCTTGTAAACCATTAAGCCACTGGACCCTGGAGGGTACGTACTGATGAAGAGTCCCAAACTAGGGTGAAACAGCTATCCAGTACTCCCAGCTGGTTTTCCAATGGTTCTCTAACTGATGTTAACTCATAATGAAATCATCCAACCATTCAAACAAAATTCCGTACAAAATCAAAACTTGGGAATTGTATATATTTCTCTCTTTCTCTCCAACTTCCCTTTGTTGTTTGTTGCCACTTTTCATATCTCCGGTAGGTCGACGTTGCATCATTTCGATTGCACGTGTTTGGTGTTAAATCGATAATACTTTCAACCTGTCTCACCTGTATTACTTTGTGATTGCATGCAAGTGAATGTAGTGCAATGGTTGAGCTTTTATCTAGATTATTTAACTTAGCAGTATCAATCATTCTAGGTATAGCTAGATTTTCATGTTCCAATAACCTATTCAAGTGTTGGTTTGTAGGGATTTGATTGGTTACAGGATTTCATCATGAGGTGAGATTAGTTAGAGAACCACTGGAAAACCTGGGGGTACTGTACAGCTGTTTCTTCAGGCTAGTTTGGGACTCTTCATCAGTACACACTCACCGGTATTTGAACCCAGGACCTTCTGAGTGCAGCAGGTCGGGTGTGAGGAAAAATACTCACCGAAGACATTGGCTAGGGGTCGCGTTGTGTCGTGAATTGGCAGAAGTTAGAATTCATGGGCCATTGAATCGGGTCCCAGTGGGTATACGAACTCGCCTTGTAACCAGAAGGTCCTGGGTCCGAATCCCAGTGGGTGCGTACTGCTGAAGAGTCCCAAACTAGGACGAAGCAGCTGTCCAGTACTCCCAGGTTTTCCAATGGTTCTCTGACTAATTTCACCTCATGATAAAATTCCAATAACCTAGTTGATCCCGATCTACTAGTTTGACGGCCCATGTAATTGACCTCACTTAAAGTCATTACATGGTATTTGATAAATTATATTATTTCTCCTAATTGGATCTGTTGGGTCCCTAAGCTGACAAAGTTTATCTCTCAGTGACTTGGTTAGTTTAAATGCCACTCTAATTCCAGCGTCGTCGAGAATCCTACGTAAGGTCTCTGACGTCTCCTCTTTATACGACAGTGCTACAGAGGCTCTGGATTCTGTATTATTTTCGTCAATTTTATCGCTAGTCTTAGTTTCTCTGTGGTTCTTCAGGCATTTCTGAATGAATTCTGGTGGGTAGGGGGTTATTCACTAGTAATACTTCCTTTATTTGTTTGATTTTGTTATTTAAATCTTCTGGCCTACTACTTAGGCTTTTGGCCCGATTATAAAGGCATTTAACTAACCCTACCCTACTTCACCTATTCTGAATAAGGTGAATTAAAGTCTAAGTATTTATTATTAGAGTGTGTGTCAGTTTCCTATAAATGCCAGCTGGTATCTAACCCATCATAACCAAGGGATGTGTGTACTGCTCAGCAGTTTGCTCCATCCTTCTCTATGGCTCTGAAACATGGCCAATACGAGTTGAAGACATGAAAAGGTTGACTGATTTTGATCATAGATGTTTACGATCTCTTTCTCACGTTAGGCGTAGAGTGTTGGGCAAAGAAGGAAAATCAATCAACGAGGATATAAAGTTACATAGATTGAGATGGCTAGGTCACGTGCTGCGCATGCCTAACCATTGCCTCCCCAGACGGGCATTACCAGCTAATATAGGTGCAGGTTAGAAAAGAGTAAGTGGTGCCATACTAAACAAAAACATGGCCTCATCAATCCATGAAATCCTTGACAGTTAAACTGAGTCAGGTAGGGAGGGAGATGCGGACTTCCGGGTTCGGGCCCGCCTTCGGAACTCTAAGAATCAATGGCTGGGGACAATAGGTGACATGGCTCAAAATCGTTGTCAATGGCTAGCGCAGATGTATTCAGTCTCTGTACTCTTTCATATTCCTTTCTACCTACCATAACTCATTCTGTTTCACTCTTATACTTGTCAAAACTCTATTGATTCTCTTCATCGCTCATTTTCTTGTGTACCTTTGTGTGCTATTGGGAACGTGGCACTTCGAACTGCTGCACTTCGGTGCCAAGTTCTGTGTTGAAACCAGACAGACAGACAGATAACCCATCGTCTTGTTTTCGTTTTATTCTACAGTCAGTCTAGCAGGGTTAACTCACCCTGTTCATTTTCTAACTCAAAAGTGATTGACCTACTGCTCAGTTACATTACAACGCGATTACTGTCACCATTATTATTATTCTTTCCTTACAGAAGTTTGCTTGAACCTGACGCTAAAGGTGATTGTACAATGATACAAATTGATACAGACGCTGATATCCGATATAAAGTTGATCCAATTTATATTCAAATGAAACCAGTCATGAAGTTATGCAAAGAAAAGCGTACCAAGAAAATGACAACAGATCAAATCTATACAGATCGTATTACTTATTCACCACGATTTTGTCCCCTGGGCACTTATCTTACTGATTACAATAAACGTGAAGTATGTTATTATCATTATTATTAGCATTATAGTCTAATTCATTGTTCTTACTTATTTATTTAAAACAATTAGTTCCCTTTATGAACTTAGACAAAGCAATAAGAAGACGTAATTTGTCTGAATCGTGTACTGTTGTATTTGCGCAACACATTTCGAACAATCTGATCACACTTTACGGACTTGTCATAGGAATATATATGAAATTAATAAAGAGGTGAGAGGTGAGAAAATAGACTACTTAGGTCAAGTTAACAGGACATATTCAAGGTGAAAATAACAATCAAGATCACTCAACCAAATAACAGAAGTAATAGTACATCTGCTATGGTATCGAAACAAACTTTACCAAGGAAGGTGGTTTAGTGTGATGACGAATTGTTTTTGAACGCATAAAGGTGGCTTAAACTTTTTAATTGCCAGCTAGGGCTTCCACAAACTTTAGGATACGCCCCAAACATGTTTTATAGATAGGTTTAAAAGACGTGTAAACATCGATTTTATGTCCTGTCTCTATAATATGTTTCTCAATAGAGGAGCTAGGTCTCCTGTTCTCACCATTAGTGGGTTCTGAAGATTCTGTTTGTTTCTGGAGCCATTTAGGAATATGCTCTGAAGCCAGCCCTTACTTGCAGAGATCGATGAGTCCTCCCTATGTATGTGTGTCCGCACGTACATTCAAATTGGAAAATACAGTGGGATGTGACATTATTTTTCGCATGTTCAAAGGGCTTCGATGAATGGATATATTGGCTTTACATTCTCTATTATTATGATATTAGCTGCATGAAAAGTCTTTTTGACAGCAGCGTTCAGTCTTTGTCTAGTTATCAAACTGCTTTAATGCCCCATATAGGGGCGTATCCTAAAGTTTGTGGAAGCCCTAGCTGGCAATTAGAAAGTTTAAACCACCTTTATGCGTTCAAAGCAACAATTCGTCATCACACTAAACCACCTTCCTCGGTAAACTTTGTTTTGATACTAGCCAGGGTAGATGTACTATTACCTCTGTTATTTGGTTTAGTGATCTTCATTGTTATTTTGACCTTCGATGTTTCCTTTAAACTTGACCTAAGTATATTTTCTCACCTCTTAACCCTTTATTAATTTCATATATATACAGTCCTATGACAAGTCCGTGGAGTGTGATCAGATTGTTCGAAATGTGTTGTGCACGCAAATACAACACTACACGATTCAGACAAATTACGTCTTCTTATTGCTTTACTTATTTATATAAAAGAAAACGTATTCAGGGAAGAGTTATACCTCTTCTCAGCGATATCATTCTTAAGATATACGATAGTATATATACAGTAATTTGTCTCAGCAACAAAATGAATATTTTTTCTATAGTTGGTTTGTAAGGATTAGATTTGTTTTTTTTACGAGTTTGACCAAGGATTGATATCAGTTAGAGAAGTATTGAAAACCAGCCACAGGGAGTACTGGACAGCTGTTTCATCCTAGTTTGGTAGTCACTGGCAGTACGCGCCCACTAGGGTTCGAACACAGTGTAACCGGAAGAAGAAGAATTATATAACAAAATTCCATTCTTAGATGTCTTAATCAGGAGAACTAACACAGGAAATTTAGAAACACAAGTATACATAAAATCAACGCGCACAGGTCAAATACTCAAATATACTAGCGATAACCCAATTATTCACGAAAGAAACTGTGTGCGAACATTGTTTGAAAGAATCCAAACACACTGTAGCACTCCAGCATTGAAAAGAATGGAAGAAAAATACCTACCAACCGACAGTCTTCAAAATGAATGGATGTCCTCACAGTTTCATCAAAAAGTGTTGGAAATCGAGTCACAGCACCAAGAAGAAACTGTCATCAACGACTACAGAACATCAAGACCCACTCTCCAACTCATTACTAAGAGAGATGTTTATATCAGTCAGCTTGGTAACTCGACAGAGGATGAACGCTGTAGTTAAAAATACTTTTTATGCAGCTAACATCAGAATAATTGAGAATATGAAGCCCATAGATGCATCTAAGCCCTTTGAACATGTGAAAAATGATGTCACTTCCCACTGTATTTACCAATTTGAATGTACGTGTGGACACACATACATAGGGAGCACTTACTCATCGATCTCTGCAAGTAAGGGCTGGCTTCAGAGCATATTCCTAAATGGCTCCAGAAACAAATGGAATCTTCAGAACCTATTTATGGTGAGAGCGGGATACCTAGCTCCTCTATTGAGAAACATATTATAGAGACAGGACATAAAGTTGACGTTTACACGTCTTTTAAACCTATCTATAAAACATGTTTGGGGCGTATCCTAAAGTTTGTGGAAGCCCCAGCAGTCAATTAGGAAGTTTAAACCACCTTTATGCGTTCAAAAACAATTCGTCATCACACTAAACCTTCCTTGTTTTGCAATTAATAGTGTTCTCTGAGCTGGTTGGTTTAGTTGCGAAGCTTCCTTTTTACATTTTGCTTTGATACCAGCCAGACTAGATGTAGTATTACCTCTATTGTTTGGTTTAGTGATCTTCATTGCTATTTTGACCTTCAATATGTCCTTTTAACTTGACCTAAGTAGTTTATTTTCTCACCTCTTAACCCTTTATTAATTTCATATAATATACAATCCTTTGACAAATCCATGTGTGACCATGATGTCAGCTCATGATGAAATCCTCTAACCAATCAAACAAAATTCCTTCAAAACCAATACTTGGAAATGCTTTGGGTGACGCGCGTCATGTCTCTGAGGCACATACAGAAACGTTTACTGACTTGACATTAGTATTAAGGATTGAGATTATGTTCCATGTGCTGAATGCAGCAGATTGCTATATTTATTTCAGAGAAATTAAGGCTTGTTTTGCTCCTCGGATTATAATTTTGACATCCACCTCTGGAGCACATGTAACTGAAAAGATACTGCTCGGATAAGTGAAACATGTGATGATATTAACATTATTATTCCCTTGCGTTCCGATTGTACCATAGGGCTTCAACAACACACCTCACTTTTTTCTGTTGTCTGCTGCCCGCTTCAGCTGGCTACCTTCATGATTGATCAAACTCTCTCATCTCTTCCTCACACGATCTCCTCCATATCACCGTTGTACCGACGACCCATTCGTCGCTTCCCATTTAGATTCCACTTGAGTGAAGGGCTGGCGTGCGATGTCATTCGGCGGCCTCCTCAATGTATGCCCTGTCCATCTCCACTTTCTACTACATATTTGTTGAGAGATCGGCTCTTGGTTGGTTTGTTCCCATAGTTTCTTGTCACTTATTCTTTCTGGCCATTCGATCTTTAATATGAAGCAAAGGAAGCTATTGATGAAAGTCTGCAATATCCTGTTGGAAATCCTTTTCGTAACTCACACGCAGTGCAAGTTTCTGACCCTTATAGAAGAACCGACTTGACATTGGTGTTGAAAATCCGAATCCTGTTCCTTATGCTGAGTGAGGAAGACTTCCAAACTGGTTTCAGGTTGATGAAGGCGTATCTTGCCTTTCCAACTCTGACTTGCAGTTGAAACGATGCTTCCTGGCCAGATAAGTGAAGGAGGCAACATCTGTTAAATCTCTCCCGTTGATAGTGATTGGTGCTGGTTGCTGTTGTTGTTGCTGCTTTTGGTTGGTTATCTTCATCAACTTCGTCTTCTCTATGTTCACCTGGAGTCCTGTTTTCTCTGCCTCTTCGGGCAGTTTGTTGGTTTTCGCTTACCGTCTAAATCTTCGAGTTTGTGTGAGAAATCCAGATCTTCTAGATTCTTCTTATCGGTAGTCCAGCGTATTCCTGTCTCCTCACCCCCAACATTCTGACGCATGATCCAGTCCACCACAATTAAGAACATCATGGGTGAAAATAGGCATCCAGCTGGCCTTACTCCTGCATTCACATCAACAAAATGCCTCTCTGAGTTTTCCATTGTGGGTAACAATGAATTTATTGTTAAAAATGGATGCGAATAGGTACAAAAAAGATTAAGACGAAGGCAAAACAAGAGACTGAACAAAATTTTTCATCAGTGAAATTCGAGATGTCGACATTTTTCTTGTGTAGGACTTGCCAGATGGATGTTCCTGCCTTCCCGGTGAGCGATGATATTCTCCGTACATGTCGTTTCAAACGTCAAGGCATTCATTGTCCACTAGGCAGGAATCAGTTATTGATTGGTTTTCAGGGTTAATTCCTGCTGACTGATTCTGTTGGTCTGAAATGCTCGGTGTCTCTGTTTACTTGTTGGCTGCTAATACAAACGCTTCAGTGATGTCTAGAGATTTGCGTAAAGTTGTTCTGTTTGATTGTGACTATCAGTGACGCCTATAATGTCATAGAGATATTCTATGAAACCGTAAAAGTATTACATACATTAGAATAATGTTAAACAATTGATGCTCTAGTATTATGAGTGTTGATTTCTCTATAGTGTGTCTGTTCTGCTTTAAACTCAGTACCTAGGGACATTTTATTAAACAAGCTTGCTGAAACTCAAACTGACTGTTGGGTTGTCAAGTGGCTGCATTCTTATTTCTCAGGAAGAAAGCAGTATTCTGTATGTCAGGGAAAGTCGTCCACTTCGTTGCCTACTGAGGCTGGCGTCTCTCAAGGCGCTGTCCTTTCTCCTTTTCTGTTTTCTTTCTTCTTGCATGACTTGCCTCACTCTGATGATGAAATGAACTTTGTTAAGTATGCCGATGATCTAACTATTTCAATGTCTGTTAACTCCCAGATAGACTGCGCCAAGATGAACAGCTTTCTATCAGGAGTTAGCAAATGGTCTTTGTCTAACGGCCGTAAACTAAATCCTTCCAAATGTCAGACTGTTAATTTCAGTTTCCGATGTAAACGAAAGTTAAATGAAGCCGTTGGTTCCTATGACTCTTGCAAAATTGATGATACTGATATAGAAATCAAGTCTGAAGTTAAGTATCTTGGATTAATTCTTTCTTCTGATCCATACAGGTCTTTCCATATATTGGCGATTTCTAAAAGAATATTTCATCGGACTTCTCACACTGAGAAGTTAAGGCATTCAGGAATAACTCAAACTCTCCTCTTACAGTTTGTCAACTCGTGCATCTTACCTATTCTTCTTTATTTTTCACCCTTATTCTTTCCTGGATTGCTTAAAAAAGACTATGTCATACTTCGTAGAACTCTGAAGACTGTCAATAGGACAAGTGGTATCCTATCCCAACGGGCCATATCGTTGACTTTGTTACTGTTAGGCACTTGAGGCCATGCAACAAATTTGCTAAAGGAATTTTGTCAGACTGTGAGCACCCACCACAGCACCCGCAGCTCCAACCTTGTGTCTCCTCCTCAGGTAAAACAAGAAGTCATTTCCCCAAAAGACTTTATGCACGTACGTCTAAGTATAAAAATTCCACTATACCATATTTAGCACTTACTTTATGTGATGAAAATAGTGTTAGGCATGAAATAACTAACCTTCTTTGCACCATTAAATAAACCATTTCCTTCACCCTTACAACATCAACCGTTATTATTATTGTGCTTCTTATATTTATAATCCTCGCAATATTTCTTCATAAGTGTGAACATCATTTAAGATGTGTTATAACTGTTAATTTTGTGTTTCCCATCACTATACTATATCAAGAGAACATTAGATTCAATAATCTATAACATGCTAAAATTTCCAAACTGAATCGACAATTGAAACACACTCACTGTTATTATTATTATATTTAATATTCTCAATTCGTACTTCGAATATTTTTGAATTTATATCGTAAATGTGGACAAAATTCCTCTGGCTAGTTTTGTTTTAATTTTTAATTTTATTTATATTTTGAGCAAATCAGATGCAAGATATTGTGACAAATGCTGAGAATTCCATTCTGTATTATAAGTAGTGCTGTTTTTGAATAAAAATAGATTATGATTATTTCTTTCTTGCTAAATCTGGACCTAGACTAGCCACTTCTAATTGTATCTACCAATTCAACTGCACTTGTGGTGAAGCGAGTTATATTGGCCCGTTGCTCTAGGGACTTCATTTTTCGTACTCTCTCAGGAACATCTACCAGTGTGGCTAAGTAAGCGAGTAGTAAAAACCACCAACAGTCCGATACCAAACCACCTGCTCCAAACCGATCAAAAAGCCAGCATTGAAGAATCCTTTTCTATCATCTACTGGGTACCAAATCAATTGCCAAAAAAGTCGAGGTTACCGCATACTCCGAATGGCTGAGGATGTCACCATTTGCGTGAAACAACAGGTACTTTGTGTGAAGAAGAAACAAGTAAACCCACTACTACTGCCCTGGCCAGCCTTCAGTGGAGATTATAAATTCATGAAATTTTATTATTATTTTTCCTAATTTGCCTGTCTGATATTCAGGACAGGACACTAGTAACTAGTGCGATGTGTCTAGTCGTTTCTTCGGTGCAGACTGAATTCTATCAGTCAGGTTTGCAGTCAGGCCACCATTCTAGGTAGCTCGCTATCATGGTGCGCATTGATTTGATGATATTAGATGGTTGGAAGCAATCGGCCACAGGAAGCCTTGACTAGACCTAGGTTTCGTGCGAGTTGGCACTCACCAGTCAGTAAGGCGTATCTGCAACCTTGAAGGATCTCATGTCCCTTCTGAAATTCGAACCCGCGGCGTAACCCAGTGCTGCAGTCAGAGACGTTTACCACTGAGCTATTTGGGCTCGCGATTGACCTCCTGTAGGACTGTAGTGGATACTTTGATTGGATTGTTATGTTGATGCTATTGAACTGTAATCTGCTGATATTATTATTGATTCGATATTATTTAAACAACATTATTGGTGTTAGTAACACTAATTCATTCACTATTATGGATGGATGCATATAATTGTAGAACCTGATGAAGAAGGCGTTGTCGAAAAGAATATTCTTTACGGGATTTTCATCATGAGCTAACATTAGTTAGAGAACCATTGGAAAAACACCTGGGAGTACTGGACAGCTGTTTCGTCCTAGTTCTAGGACTCTTCATCAGTACGCACCCACCGGGATTCAAACCCAGGACCTTCTGGTTTACAAGGCGAGCTCGTATACCATTAAGCCACTGGGACCCGATCCAACGGTCAGTCCATGAATTATAGCTTCTGCCAATTCACGCGACCAGTAGGATGCAGCAGGTCGGGTATGAGGACAAATACTCGCCGAAGACATTGGCTAGGGGTCGCGCTATGTCGTGAATTGGCAGAAGTTAGGATTCATGGGCCATTGGATCGGATCCCAGTGGCTTAATGGTATACGAACTCGCCTTGTAACCAGAAGGTCCTGGGTTCGAACCCCGTGGTGTGGGTGCGTAGTGATAAAGAATCGCAAACTGGGATGAAACAGCTGTCCAGTACTCCCAGGTTTTCCAATGATTCTCTAACTAATGTGAGCTCATGATGAAAATCCTGTAACCAATCAAATCCCTACAAACCAACACAAGAATATTCTTTGTTCACTAATCAATATTTTCAAAAAAATTGCACATGTATTTATTTATTTTATCTATTTTTAGTGTATTCCATGTCCACCAGATACATATGCAGATATTCAAACAAGTAATCAGGAATGTGAACCATGTCCAATGAATCGGCCAAGTACATTTTCAATTGAAGGCTCTGTATCATCACAATGCTCGAATGAATTAGTAGGGAAATTACAAAGGGTAAATATAATTAGCTCATTTCTTTTTTTTGCTGTCATTTCTTATATGTTTAATTGAATTTTAAGATTTTCCCGTCGATTGATTGGACCGAAGTGCTCGGTAGGGTCAGGTTGACATGTCTGTCGGCTTCTTGTGCAGATGCTTCGACGATGTCTGGGCATTTAATTAGTATTTAATTGGTGGATGGGCACTGGGTTCGAGCCTCGGTGAGAACATCATCGTCACTCAGTGGGGAATGCAGGTACATCAAGCTGGAGGACGAGTCCCAAATAGGACGAAATGCACGTTATCCTGGATCCCACAGGACTTCAGATGAACATAGAGAAGGTGGAGACGAAGGTGATGAAGACTCCTGACCAACATCAACAGCAACAACAACAACAGACAGCAATAAGCATAAACGGAAGGAACCTGAATGAAACAGCTCCTTTACCCACCGACCGACCTGAGAAGCATCGTTTCAACTTCAGGTGGACGGAACTGATGAGGATATCAAAGCGGCGAGGATCGGAAAAGTAAGCCAAGCTTTCATTACTCTCAACTCTGTGTGGAGGTCAACAGCACTTAGCGTCAAAAATAAGATCCGGATTTTCAACTCCAATGTGAAGTCAGTCAGTTCTACCTACTATACGGATCAGAGACTTGACACCACATCATGAAGAGCACATCAAACAAATTACAGACCTGCATTAACAGCTAGCTGTCTTTGTTCAATGCTACTCAAGATCAGATGGCCGGCGCGAAAATATCAGCAACAGAGATTTCTGGCAATCAGCGAACCAACCAGGAACCGATTATGAAACAAATAGGCAGGAAGAAATGGAGATGGATTGTCTGGCCATACTCTGAGGAAACCATCAAGTGACATCACTAGACAAGCCATTGCTCGAGTGGAACCCGACCGAAAGGGAAGCGGCGAGTTGGTCGTCAGTGTGAGGGTGACTTGGAGGAGGTCATGTGAAGAGGAGATGAAAGCGTGTAAGCAGATTTGGAGGCAGGTGAAAACTCTAGCAGAGACCTGAACGCAATGGAGACGCATGGCTGAAGCCCTATGTTCCACTTGGAACCCAAAGGAATAAAATTTATAATAACAGTCGTATTAATAAAAGTTTCATAAAACCCATACGATCGTTTCAGATTTGCACTATGGTTAGCAAATTGTCCAGAAACAAACAAACTGTCACAGCAGCTGACTGTAATGGACAACAGTCGATTCTCAGACATCAACATTGTATGGCTTACTTGCTGATTTTCACGGCCTAGTTGATTAATGCAGAAGACACATTGACACGATTAGGAGGTGTTTGCAAACAGAGTTATTATTAGGAACACAATATTCAGCGAAGAGACTCTTTACAACGAATTTATTATCAAGCTGTACAATCGTATATATATGGTTTTTTTAAAAAATTATATCCGGTGAGGGAATTAGGTCAAAGGTGTGAATACATGAAATAATAATAATAATAGTAGTATGAAATGCAATTAAAATACTTGTGATTATAATCATAGTTTAATGTCAAGTGGCAAAATAATTAATGTCATATATAGAATAATACATAAGGTGTATAGATTTTTGAAAGGGGTACATAATTATAAGATTAGTAGACGAATATAAAATGTTACATAACATGGTGTGAAATTTGATAAGATAGAATTCAATATTGTAAAAATAAAAAATATAAAAATTAATAATTTTGGGTTTAGAATGACAAGTGGGACAAGTGGAAACAATTCAGAGTGAGAATAGTAATAATAATAATAATAATAATAATCGTAGTAATAAGGGAAAAGTACATAGAATAACTAAATAAACAAAATAAATAAATGTCTATCCCTCTACGGCCAAGGCAGAAGTAGGGATTGTACATACTTCTTTTGTACACAAAGGTCTGGCTTAAAGTCATGAATTGCCAAGGCCTCAGCTGTCTTTAGAAGTCTGTAACGAAGAAAACGCGGCTGGCAAGTTAGCATGGATTCAATATATGATCTTAAAATCATGGTCAGGGTTGACAGAGTGACAGAAGTCGATCAGGTGTTCCAGAATAGAGCTTCGCACACACTTTCTTTCTCCCTTGTAAGACCATGCTGCTGGAATATGTTCTCGTATCCTTGTGAGTTATTATTATCACTGTTCTCATGAGTTCCGAGTGCGATATAGGCCTTCAAGTGCTCATTTCCATTTTCTCCTGTTCTTTTCCCTCCTCTTCATTTGGTCTACATGATATCCTCCATGTCGCTCAATTCGTCGTTTCCTATTTACCGTCCACTGGAGGACCTGCGTTGCGTGCGATGTCATTCGACCGTCTCATCTGTGTGTTCCCTTCCCATCTCCATTTTCTCTACATAACCACTGTTGAGTTATAAGTTCCTCATTGGCTTATTCCTAGAGTTTGTTGTTACTAATGCTTCCTAGTCAGCCAGCCAGCCATTTGATCTTCAATATGGAACCAGCGAGGGAGCAGAGCTATTGATGAGAGTCTGAAGTGACCTGTTGGAAGTGCTTTTTGTGACATGCAGTGCAAGTTTCTGACCGATACAGAAGCATTAACTCATTTGTATTGAAAATCCGAATCTTATTCTGTGTGCTGAGTGGGTGCAGAATATTCTTAAACTGATTTTAGAGTGGTGAAGGCGTATCTTGCCTTTCCGATTCTGGCTGGCTGGCTTTGACATCTTCATCCGTTCCGACTGCGTGTAGTTGAGACGATGTTGCCTAGCCAGATAAGCGAAGGAAGCAACCTCTTCTAACTCCTTCTTGTTGATGGCACTTATTGTTGGTTTCCAAAAGGATTACTCAGATGTAGACGTCTTATATGCATGACATTATATACTATTAAATGGTTGAAATGAGTAGTTGTACACCACTGACATCAAACAATAGTGCTTGCTAGCCAAACTAAAGTGATCTTTATAGCAGACGGTCATTTCTGTCATTCAAGGCTCAGTTCATCAATGATTTAATCGCTATTATTAAGCCCAGAAGGCCAAATTAGTTCGAATCACTGAAATTTTACTTAACTACTTGTGCGAATTGGTAACACCTTAAACCGGCGTGAAGACAAATACTCAGTTATGATATTGTCTGACGGTCGCACTATACACACATCGCAAATGGAAAAGAGTTAGATTCCACGAGTCATTAGATTCTGTCCTAGTGAGTGAATAGTCAATAAGTCTGCCTTACAACCTAGTAGTAATGGATTCATTCCATTATGGGTAAATTTTGTTTTGATAAAGTCTCACAGTGTTATACAGTAATGTTTACTGATGACGTTTCGAGCACAATTTATTGCTCATAATCATATCCAAAGAAAGGACTAGACACGTCACACCAATTACTAGTGTCCCATCAAAATACCCACTACAGTCCTACAGGAGGCCAATCACGAGGCCGAATAGATCAGTGGTAACGTCTCTGACTGCAGTAATCAATAGGTGAAGCGGGTTCGATTCTCAGACGGGGGACATGAGTTCCTTCAAGATTGCAGAAACGTCTTGCTTATTGGTGAGTGTAAACTGACACGAAACCTAGTGTGGCTTCCTGTGGCCGATTGCCTCCAACTATCTAATAACAATAAAGAATATTTTTTATTTCATTTTATCAAGTTATTATTTTCAACTTTCCTTCTGTTTCTTTTTCTATTTGTGTAGAAATTTTTTGATTATAAAAATGAAACAGGTAATGAAAGTTTATCAGTTGATTTTGCCTGGTCATCATCATTAATTCAACAACGTCTTTACAATGAAACGCTGGACTGGCTTGCACCAAAACCAGAATTTTTAGAAAAACAACGTCAAGCTGTTGCAGCATTCCGCGTAAGATGACTATTATTATTGTTACTATTTTGTACAGTATATATGTATGTATATATTTATTATTATTATTGTTTCCTTTAGTTCCTAGAGGAACATAGGGCTTCATTGGTCGCACGTCTCCATTGCATATGAAAATATGGTAGTGTAAATAGGGATTAAGAAAAATTCCATATTAGTTTGTTTATGGTACTCCGTAGTACTGAAGCAGTTCTCATATTAGTCTGACACAGTTCTATTGTGGTGAGAGCTGTCTGCTAGCCAAAATTGGTAGACAGCAATTTACGTCAATGTTTACGTCCCAAATCTTGGTCATGAGAAAAAAATAACAAGAACAAAGACTAACTCAACAACCAATCAAAAGACTTTGCGTGGGCGGATACGATTAGCAGATATATGGTCTGACCTTCAAAGAAACGGCCACAAAGAGGATGACAGAATAACCTTGAGCAAGAAAACAACCAATCAGAAGACGCTGTTTCTCTGCTAATAATAACGAATAATAATGTACATAAAAATCTATAAATATCTGTTGATTTTCTGAATAAACGATCTGTTGCCTGACCATTGTCTTCTGTCGTTACACCCTTAGCCGGTTCGAAGCCCAACAAAGAGGGAAGGTTGGGTGGACGTCAGGCCTGCAAACCCACTCTGTAAAAAGAAACCAGTGGAACTTCATGGCTCAAGTTTAGAGTCCTATGTTCCAATGACAAAGTGCTTCACACCCTTGTGTGTTAAATTCATTCTTTCTTTTTATTCTTGTTTTCTCATCTACTTTCAGAGAATGACACAAATCACCTTTTCATCCAGTGAATTGGCTTTAATTATCATCTTATCTATACCGATAGCAATATTCGGTGGAACATTATTTATGGTGATTATATTCGGTTTGAGTAGACGAATTAAATGTCCAATTGACGATCAGATGGATACAATGAAAGAAAAGCTGTCTGATAAAAAACCAATATTGATTATTGAACAAATTGCGCATAAATTATTTTGTGCAGTTATCAAATTCCCTTTAATGGTAATCATTTTCTGTGTGTTTTTATCAGTATAATTGTTATTCTTTAATGTGTATGATTATTGCCGGTTGCAGTGAAGTGAAGCGGTCAACGTGGTAGAGCGCGTTGACCACTTCACGTTTTTGGGAAGTTGCATCAGCCAGCACCTCCACTGGGTTGATCGCTGACGAAATCTCAGCACGGATACAGAGGGCTAGTTTCGCATATACCAGTTTACGCCGTCTTTGGCGTAGACGTGATATCCTGCTGGCTATCGACCAAAGGGTGTGTGTACTGATCAGCAGCCAGCTCTCTTTATGGCTGTGAGACGGGACCAGTGAAAGTGGAAGACATGAAAAAGCTAGCTAGCTATCTTTGATCATAAGTGCCTTTGTTCTATCTCCATGTAAAGTGGTATAATAGGGTGAGCAATATAATATTGAGGTTAGGCGTGGAATGCTAGGTAAAGAGGGGAAATCAATCGATGAGGCTATGAAGTTACATCAGCTGAGATGAGTAGGACATGTGTTAAGCATGCATCCCTAGCCATCGCCTTCCTCAACAATGGCAATGTTAGCTGACATAGGATAAATGAGGTTGGAAAAGAGTCAGTGGTGGTCAAACCAAAACATGACTTCCTAAGTCAAGGAAATCCACAACAGTTAGTTTAGGCCACGTAGGAAGATGACGACTTCCTGGAACAGTAAAAACCAATGAAGGCTGGAGACAATTGTTGATATGGCTTAAACTCATCACTGTCAATGGCTGGCGCAAATGCAGCCACTCCTTTTGACTTAGAATACCCAATAAAACTATATGATTCTTCAATATTACTGTTACTTTTGTCTCATATCTCTGTTTTCTGTCTTTATTTTGGGTTTCTTTTTACTTTCTTCTTCTTCTCTGGATTTGTGTGCTGAGTGGTGTGGCGCATCGAACTACTGCACATCGATGGAAAGTTCTATGTTGAAACCAGTCAGTCAGACACAATTTTATACTGTAATATTTACTGATGACCACGTTTCGAACACATTTTATCACTGCTCATTATCATATCAAGGCACTACTCACAGAACTTTCTTGCTTCATTTATAGTACATGAGTAAAAATTGATTAGACATCTGAATAAAATCAATATAAGATAAAGTACATTCGGAAATAATAATATTAGTGTTACCAATAAAATACAATCAGATGGGAAATAAGACGAGTGTTTTTATAGTCAAAATAAGTAACTTGTTAGAACGTTATAATGTGAATTGAATATATTTAAGCACTGCTTATTATCCTCTGATTTGACTGGTGGCAGTAATATCTTCCATATCTCTGGTATTTGTGTTGAGTCACTTCTATTATTTTATTATTATTTTATTGATAACAGTAACATTAATTCCGAATGTACTTTATCGTATATTGATTGCTATTCAAATATCTAATCAATTTTTACTCATGTATATAAATGAAGCAAGAAAGTTATGCGAGTGAGTGACTTGACATGATTATGAGCAGTAATAAATTGTGCTGGAAACGTGGTCATCAGTAAATATTACAGTATAACAACAATGTGTGACTTTTTAAAATAGAATTTTATCCATTATGGAAATGTAATCTACCACAGTGCCCAAGTTTTATCCTGAACGATAGTAGTTCAGACAACAGACTATCATCTAGCTAACATTAAAAAAGTTATCTTTAGAGTAGGAAGGACTGTACTATCCTTCTCGACTAATTTGATTAATACAGACTTAGAATCTTCGGAACATCTGACATTGATCTATGCGTTGCCATTTCGTCTTTTAAGTTATTTCTTCTCCCCTTTGATTTCGACTGATCTGTCGTTTTGTTGTCTATGGCTAGCAATGGAATCCATGAAGTGGGCTTCATCCTATTCGAGGTTCGTTAGCTGGATTTACCTGAATCCCCGCCTGAGTGATAGTGTTCCCAGTGGCGATCGAATTCAGCACTCATCGTTTCAGACGCCAGAATTCTATCATCTAGGCCAACTAATAACATATCATACGGGATACATAGATCGCATAAGCAAAAAGAATGAGTAACAAAGAACGCTAACAATTAACTAACGAAGAACCTATCGTCAAACAAATATGCATAAAGAAATGAATTGGCAGAAGTTAGAATTCATGCACTGGCTGGCCATTGCATCGGGTCCCAGTGGCTGATGAATGGTCTACGAGCTCGCTAGCCTTGTAGCCAGGAGGTCCTGGGTTCAAACCTCGTGGTGTGGGTGCGTACTGTTGAAGAGTCCCAAACTAGGCTGACGAAACAGCAGTCTGGCAGTATTCCCAGCTGGTTTTCCAATGGTTCTCTAACTGATGTCAGCTGATGATGAAATCTTCCAACCAGTGAAACGTAGATGGATTGGACATAAGCTGAGGAGACCGTTATGTGATTCAACGTGATAAGTAGGTCCTTGCGTGGAATCCAAATAATAATCGACAGGTTGTTCTTGTGCCTGAGGGTGACATGGAGGAGATTATTTGAAGAGGAGATGAAAGCGTTTGAACGATAGTAGACCCAGTTAGAAAGAACTGCACAGAACGAATGAAATGGAGACTTCCTGTTGAAGTCCTATTGTTTCACTCAAAACCCAAGGGAATAATAATAATAAAAATACTTAGTGTACAAAACATGGTTCTCATGGCCCAGTGGATAACGCTTTAGCATTTCAAATGATGGGCGATAATTTTAAGTTCCATTGTGTGCAATTACACCCCACTGTTGCGTATTAAATAAGACGAAATGCAGTTCCTGAATTCCACTCCTAGCCACAGCTGATATGTTAACAGGCGTCAAGCACTTCAATCCAATAGAATTAGTTAATATATCAATCTTCGCATATCTTTCAACAGTCCAAAGGAATAAAACGTCTCTTCATTGTTCAGACCAATTAATTCTTATTGGTTGGTAGTATTTTAACAACAGAAGACAAGGGACAGGCAACAGATCATTTATATTGAGAAAAATCAACAGATGTTTATAGATTTTTATGTACATTATTATTCGTTATTTTAGAAGAGAAGCAACCTCTTCTGATTGGTTGTTTTCTTGTATCTTGGTTCCTAGTGACATAGGGATTCAACTGCACGCCTCCACTTGCTTCTGTCTTCTGCTGTACTTTTCACTTGCATCCATGTTATTCCATACTGTTTCAGTACCTCTTCACACCATCTCCTCCATGTCATCCTTGGACGTCCCACTCGCCGCTTCCCTTTCGGGTTCCACTCGAGGGCCTCACGCGCGATGTCACCCAACCGCTTTTCTTGCTCAAGGTTATTCTGTCATCTCTTTGTGACCGTTTCTTAGAAAGTTAAGCCATATATCTGCGAATCATATTTGCACACGCTAAGTCTGCTGTGATTGGTTGTTAAGTTCCTCAAGGTTAAGCTTTGTTATTGTTGGTTTTTCTCATCACCCAGATTCGTGACGTAACACATTATTATTGATTGATGTACTGCGGTAGTATTTAACTATGCATTCATGCTATTTATATATCTCTCTTTTTGTGTATTTCTTTCTCCCTCAATCCACCTCTCCCCCGGCCGCCGACCCCGTCTCCCTAACACAGGTTTCTTCACTTATGTCCAGATTAATTTCACGTATCATTGAAGAACTTGGTGATTTACCCTATAAAATCAAACATAGCCAATTGTTTAAATCTTTCCAAGAAAATCTTAAATCTTTTCAAGTAGCTGTATCAAAACAAGTCTATCGTCGACCAACATTTGTACTTACAGATAATTTTAATCATTTAGTACACACGCTAACTGATATCATGATCAATCGTATCACAGAGACAGCTTTGAATGATTTAAATTATCAACGTAAACAAAAGTTGAATATTGAACAAAAGCTTAAACAACACATTCAAGCGTATAATCAAGCTAAACAGAAGGCTGACAGTGCACAAACTGCTTTAAAAACGCTAGAAAGTGAATATCAGTTGGCTAGTAAACAATCAAGTCAACAAATCAATAATGAAACGCCTAGAAAAGAGGAATTACCCTCAATCAAAACGGAATATGAAAATAAACTCGCTAGAGCGTTGCATTTAATTGAAACTACCCAACAGGAAGTTAGTCAAAAGCGTAGAGAGTTAGCCCAAGCTGAAATGAAACTCCTGTCATCAGAATCACCAATATCAGAAAGTGCTGAACACTTGGTATTTAATGAAGATGAGAAGTCGATCTATTATGCAGCACCAGAACTGAGGGCTTACCTTCGTCTACCACGTCACTATAATGATGCTTTCTTCTTACTGCATCCAAAATTGAAGATAAATGAAATGAAACGGAGGTCAGTGCATGAGGCACCACCACGTCCTTGACACTGCTTATTGATTGGTCCCCTGCTTGTGGTTTCGTTGTTTATTATTTACTGTTATATGTTGTTTACAAAGAGTCTCATGATTTGTAATATATAAAAAATATAATTCTTTGAATGTTAGCAGAACCAGTGATACCTTTTGAATTGGGAAGTCAGGAAGGAAGGGAAGCTTCCAATGTTAGACTGTAGAGTAAAAAGGAAAGAAGATGGGAAGTTAAACATACTAGTGTGTTTACAGGAAACCCACACATTCAAACAGATATTTGGATTTCCGATCATCCCATCCTATGTCAGTGAAAATAGGATTGGTGAAATGTTTAAGTGATAGAGCACAAAAACTAAGTAGTACCAAGGAAAATCTAAGACAGGAAGTGAGGCATATAAGAGAAGCTTTGAAACTTAATAATTACCCTAATAAATTAGTCAAAAAGTATGTAGGGAAAATGTAAAAATAATAATAATAATGGTAGTGATAGCGATAATAATAATATTAATGACGACATGCATGTCAAACATGCACAGGATAATGACAACACCAACAATAAGGAGTCTAAATCATCAGTAGTAGTTCCATACAAAGAAGGAACCTCGAAAACCTTACGGAGAATTCTTAACAATGCAGGAATAAAAGTGTCTGGAATTCAAACCCACAAACTCAATTAGAAACAAGCTTTGTCGGTTAAAGGATCAATCCTGTGGAGCCTTTAAAACAAAACAATTTAGTTTATCTAATACCCTGCCTGCAATGATTGTCAGGTCAAATACATAGGTCAAAGTAGTGGTAGAACGGGGTCAGTTAGTCAGACTAGCGAAGCATATAAACCTAGCAGCAAAATGTAGATTAGTTGACCCGAATAAGATAAGAAATCTAGAGAATAGTTCAGCTATAGCACTCACCACATGCAATTACACACAACCATACAATACGACGGGATGGGATAAGATGACAGTTTTAAAATCTAATGTCACAGGGTGGAGGGAAAGATTGATAACGGAAGTTTTATTTATCGAATCAACTGCAGACCAACACGTGTAATAGGAATGATTCAACACCTGTCCACCCGGACAAATAGGAGAGAACAAAGACAATTATAAAACTCAAGTTTCGAAGTTGTGTGATTATAAATGATGAAATGATTATGAACAGTAATAAATTGTTTTCGAAACCTTGTCATCCAGTAAATAATACTGTTTCACTCACTGTGATATATCTAATAAACAAACTAATATGGAAGGACCGCACACTTGTTAGATAGTTGGAGGCAGTCACCAGGAAACCTTGTACCTAGGTTACGTGCTTGTCGACACTCACCAGTCAGTAAAGCGTATCTGCAATCTTGAATGGATTCAAATCCCTTCTGAAATTCCAACCCAGGTATTCCTTGTGGCAGTCAGAGGCTTTATCCACTGAGCTATTTAGTTTAGCCGTTGACCTCCTGTGGACCTGTAATGGATGCTTCGATTGGAAATGAGGTAGTGACTGATGTCATACATCTGGTTCATTGTGTTAGTACTGACTGAATTCTATAAGTCGAATTCGCTGCACTATATGTGGGAAGCGATCGAATTTAAGAGATTTGAAGATGGTAGGTAGGCATTGCTGATGAGTTCTAGCAAGCGTAGAAAGAATGTAGCCCACTAAGGCTTCTTGGTGATGGCTTCCAACCGTCTAACACCAATTCAGAGTGGATCATGATGGTGAACCACATAGCATAGTGACCACCTTGCAAAATTGATAGACAGAATTCAGTCTGCATCAAACAAAGAATTAGATGGATGGCATTAGTTGCTACCTAGTTTCCAATCCAAGTAAGCTGCACACTTACAAATCCATAAAAACAAAATGATGGAGTAAAGAATATCCTTCTCGATAATTTCCTCCTCCTCTGGCTCTACAATTATATACGTATATGTTTATATACACAGAATATTCTAGAATTGTAATCAATAACAATATTAGTGGGTGTTTTAAATAATATCGATTTGTTAAGTAAGATCACAATTTGATTACAGTTCATTAAAGATGCTTAAATTGTAATAATAATAAAGATACCATAGCAAATTGAATATCAACTAAAATTAGGGAAATTCCACAAAAATTCAGGATCATTGGAACCTAGATGGCCAAGGTAAGAATAATGTCTGAACTAGCTTCTTTTGGACACATAATTTAGGCTTCTTAATATGGATCCCAACAGCCAGCCTCTGTAATATTTAGTAATCGAAGTCTTCAGGCGAAGTTGAGATTTGTTGGTATGCGGTAAATGACTCTGAAAGCTGCCTCATTGACATCAGTCTTGTGTTGTGTATCCACAAGATGAGATAGAATACGCTACGAATAGATTTTGTTTTTCCTTTACTTAACCGACCACACAGGATGATGTTCGGAAATCCGACGATAAACACACGGTCTATGTAACTGGCTCCACAGGAGCAGTTAAATTGGCAGATACACATGGAAGAGTCAAAATTAGACAGTTTATTTTTTACTCCCGAATGCAAAAGAGGAGTGGTTTTGAAGACACAGCATAATTCAGCAGCAGGGAATGCTCTTTTTAACGCATTTCCTAGGCGTTGTGTTAGTATCTCGCTGATATTATCCCCGAGGAACTGAATTTATAAGAATAAAGCTTTTTTAGAAACTGTTGGTACGTTGTGCTGCTTTCATTTTAGATTCATATTCTTATCAATAAACTATTCTGGATAACCATTTTCACTCAGCAACCATTTAATATTATTCAGTTCCTTACCAAGACATTCATCCGAGCAGATTGCTCTTGCTCTGTGGTGAACCAAGCACTTTATCAGATTACGTTTATATTTCAAGGTTTCGAAGCTTAAAAAAATGAGTACTCTGACCAGTTGATGTAGGTTTCCTATGCACACTTCTTCTTATGTGCCATCCTCTTTTCTGGTTGCAGAGAAGCCTAGAAATGAAATACTAGAGTTAGATAAAAGATTAATTGACAGTAGATTGTGTGACACACGGCTGTCTGACCAGAAGCGTAAACCAATCCAATATGATATCCCTTCTTTCTCTACTATGAGAAATGCAAGACGACATGCCAATTATAAAAAGTTCAGGAGTGCATTTTATGAACCAAGGACACCATTCAACAACGGTCATCTCTTTTAATGAGATAAGCTGTCATCGAGGATGATGCTTTTTCTCATATTTAGTAGAAACTTGCTAATCATCAGGTTTTAAATACTCGCCAGAGTGAAAGATACTATTAGAGGTCATACTTGACTAGATTTAAACAAACTGAATGAGAGAAATTATCTGTAATATATTGATGGAGATTTTGTGATAGCCCCGTTTTAATCAGGCTACTGAAGACTTTTATCACCAGCTACCTTTACTCCGTTCTGAAGATAAGATGGTTGGCCTAAAAGAGGATCAGCAACAAGGAAATCTGGCAGGTAACGAACCAACCATGAATCCAATGCCCAATAAATATTTAGAAAGATAAAGAGATGGATGGGACAGATTGTAACGACAGAAGACAAGGGCCAGGCAACAGATCATTTATACTGAGAAAATCAACAGATATTTATAGATTTTTATATACATTATTATTAGCGTTATTGTTAGCAGAGAATCAACGTCTTCTGATTGGTTGTTTTCTTGTTCAAGGTTATTCTGTCATCTCTTTGTGGCCGTTTATTCGAAGGTCAGACCACACATATCTGCTAATCGTACCTGCCCACGCGAAATCTGTTGTGATTGGTTGTTGAGTCCCTGAAGGTTAGGCTTTGTTCTTGTTTTCTCTTATGCCCTCGATTAGGGACGTAAACATTAAAGTAAATTGCTGTCTACAATTTTGGCTGGCAGACAGCTCTCATCACGCCATCACACACCAGGCTGTCGAGTGTAGCCTGAGAGAAGGAGACAAAAGCTGATGGGCAACCATGGGGCTAACTACAAAGGATTATGAAGACTACATGGTGAGATGGGTGCGTCGGTGGCACAGCAGTAGAGTGCTCGCCAACCCCCCCCAGGTGGTCCGGGATTCAATCCCCGGCCGCCAACGCACTCCTTTACCTCGCTAAGCCAGTAGTAAGTCTGGTAAAGAGGTAAGGTTGGGCATGAGGCTGGTTAGCAACCCTATCCTGTAAAAATAACCACCACTGCTACAGAAACTTGAAACCTCTAGCTTGAAGCTCTATGCTCCCCTGCGGACGTAAAGGAATTAAAAAGTGGTGAGATGGAGATGGGCTGTTGAAGCCGAATGTTCCCCTCAAAATCCAAAGGAACGATCCTAATAATAATAATAATAATGATAAAAGCTGTTTAGATCACGTGACATCCTGCTGACTATATACATCACATGTCACATATAATATTTGAATACTATCAACAACCAAGGCAAAAATCAATAACTCGTATTAATGTCACACTGATGAAATAAATATCTTATGGAATAGATATAATAATTATTATATAACTGATATCAATGTTTCTTTTGTCTATTATTTCAATCTATTTTTTCTATATAAATGCAGTTCATTCACAAATATTAAAATATTTAGAAAAGAATTATTCGTGTACTTCATTTATGCATCCATTACGTGATGAACAGATTAGATCTATAGTAACGGATGTAAGTAAGTTTACGCATAGTTTGTGTTGATCGTTTCAAACGAATAAATTGTCATTATTCATGTATTGGTTTGTGGGGATTTGACTGATTGGTGACAGGATTTCATCATGAGCTGACATCACTTAGAGAAGCATTAGAAAACTAGTCCGGCAGTACTGTCAGACAGTTATTTCCTCCCTCCTAGTTTAGGACTCTTCAGCTGTAAGCACCCACCACCAGGGTTCGAGCCCGAGACTTTCTGGTTACAAGGCTAGCGAGCTCGTAGACCATTCATCAGCCACTGGGACCCGATGCAATGGCCAGCCAGTGCATGAATTCTAACTGCTGCCAATTCACGATCGCTAGCCAATTTCTTCAGTGGCGCGT